TCATCTTCAACATTGTCTTGTCTCTTTTTAAAATGAGTTGTCCATTTGTAAACTGCTGATTTATTTGAAGCATTGTGCCCATAAACTTTTTGTTAAACATCAGTGACTTTACCATTCTTCCACCCAAGCAGCACTTTAAATTTGATGCTTTCTTGTTCTTCAGTTTTAGTAAATTCATGCTGCTCTGATAGGGGCTCCTTTCAATATGATGTCATATTTTAATTAGTGTCTCAAACTAGATCCCATTCAGATATGCTATAACAAGCTTGTATAATTTTATTTTGGTGTGACACATTTTGAAATCCATGCATAGTTTTTTCATAATATGTATTTTCCATAAAATTTTGAAGATCCCACCTACGTGGCCAGCCACATATAAAAAACCATGGTCAGCACTTTTTTAGGACTCTCTGGATTCAGGGTGTTCTATTAGGGTTCCTGATGAGAGACATAATATGCATTACAGAGAGAACGGGAGGACAATTAGAACCAGGAGCAGACAACCCAATAGGCAAGGAAAACATGGGTTTACTTGTACTTGTTTACTAATTTGTAATGAATAATTTTTAAATTTTCACTGTATTAAAGATTCTTCTTCTAAGCATGGCTGGCATCTGTATGTCTCCAGCCCCACAGTACCTTCCTATAGAATAAAAGCCTCTTCAACTTTGCAATCCTTGTCAAGGACAGAATACCCAATAACCAAGGTAAAAATTGGTTTGCTTGTACTAATTTGCTAGTCTGTAGTGAACAGTTTGACATATTTAAACCCATGTGAAATTCTTCACTAGTTGTTGTTGTTGTTGTTAGGTGCCATTGAGTCAGCACCGACTCATAGTGACCCAATGCACAACATAATGAAACAATACCTGGTCCTGGGCCAACCTCACAATCATTGCTACACCTGAGCCTGTGGTTGCCACCATTGTGCCAATCCACCTTGTTGGGGGTCTTCCTATTTTTCTCCCACCCAAACATGATATCCTTCTCCAATGACTGCTTCCTTCTGATAATATGTGCAAAGTATGAAAGACAAAGTCTGGCTATCCTGGCTTCCAAGGAGCACTCTGGCTGTATTTTTTTCCAACAAAGATATGTTTATTCTTTTGGCAGTCCATGATACTTACAATATTCTCCTCCAACACCATAGTCCAAATGCATAAATTCTTCTATGCTCTTCCTTATTCACTGTCAAGCTTCCACATGCATATGAGTTTATTGAAAATACCATGGCTTGGATCAAATGCACCTTAGTCCTAAACTGACCTATTTGCTTTTAAAGAGATCTTGTGCAGCAGATATGCCTAACGCAAAATTTGTTTGATATCTTGACTGTTGCTTCTGTGAGTATTGATGGTTGATCTGAGCAAAGTGAAGTCTTTGACAACTTCAATCTTTTCTCCCTTTATACTGATGTTGCTTATTGGTCCAGTGGTGAAGATTTTGTTTTCTTTACATTGAGATGCAACTCAAAGCTGTGGTCTTTGATCTTCATCTGACTCCTGAGTGTCATTAAGCCAGTATAGGTTTTCTTTTCCCCCACAGAGCAGTTGGTAGATTGAAACTGCTGTCCTTGAGGTTAGCATCCCAACGTGTAATCACTACATTACCAGGGTTCCTCCCACAGCTTTTTCCACTTGGTAGGTGGTGGTAGGAACAAATTACCAAATTACCAATCTTTCATGTAGAACCCGAGCAATGTTGTGCCATGAGGGCTCTTTTTAAACTAGTCTGTTGTTAAGTGCCATCAAGTCAGTTCCAACTCATAGCGACCCTGTATAGGGTTTCCAAGGAGCAGCTAGTGAGCTTGAACTGCTGACCTTGCAGTCTAGTGCATTATTCCACAGTTCCACACCAGCACTCCTAGCCAGTCTAGAAAATGGCCATTTACTATTTAGACCTTTTGGTAAGTCAATCTTAGGTAAATCAAGAGACTACCCATTAAACACATATTCAACGACAGAAAACAAAAAAAGATTTTCTTTTTTCTTTATTTTAAATTTCCATGACAATTTATTAAAAAATGTCTACATTCCAGGGGACTCAAACTTTGTTTTCTTGTAATAGCTGAATTTCACATCTGGCAAATGTTTTCCCTTTTTTTTTCTAAGGAGTCAATAGTTCTTCATATCCAGAGTTAATCTCATTGGATAGATTCTTGGTACTCTGAGGTGAGAAAAACACACTCTAGAAGAAACAAAATATGTTGGTTGTTCAGACCTCATTCATGTTCAATTGAAGATAAATTTTTATGCCATTTATTCCAAACTGTGTCTACAGAACTCATAGCTATTACAAGACTAATACAGCACATTATTAAGTCCTTCAAATACAAGTGGTCTCTGATTACTAATGAGATCTGCTCCTGAGTGTATTTAAGTTAAATTTTTAGGTAAGTCAGAACTGATGCATATGGTTCTAAATTTGCCTTATGTTAGTGAAAGAAAAAATTCTCCATGATTTAAGAGTTACACACACAGCAAGTAAAAGTGATTATGATGAAGAACTCCTTGCAAGTAGGAGTTTTAGCTCAATGGATTCAAAGTGAAGGCAAACTTATATAAGATTAAAGGACAAGTATCAGTTTTTACTCAATGGCACCTAACAACAACAACAATCAGTTTTTATAAGTCGGACACTTGCAACTTGGAACCTAAGTCTAATTACCACTTCTCAACCTAAAATTCATTCACTTTTCTATTTTAAAAAATCCTACAATTAAACAATTTTGTTCAGTTACTTCCATTCATGTTTTGTGTAGGGGGATATGCCATGGAATTTGATTCAGCAGTATATTAAATTCAATCCCATGGGCTATCTTTTAAGGGAAAAAATAATTTTAAGATTGTTGTTGTTAAGTGCCATCGAGTCAATTCTGACCCATAGTGACCCTGTATAGGGTTCCCAAGGAGCAACTGATGAGCTTGAACCACTGATCTTGCAGTTCAAAGGACTTTGCAGTCTGACACATTAGTGCACAGAACCACACCAGGACAGGGGATAAAATTTAGAGCACATGGCATTTGTTATGTATCATCAAGCCAACTTTAAATCATAACAACCCTATTGTTGTTGATAATTGCCATTGAGTTGGTTACATCTCATAGCGATCCTATGTATGATTTCTAAGGACTGGCTGGTGGGTTTGAACCATCAATCTTACAGCTAGTGGTTCAGTACTTATCCTACTGTGTCACACCAGGCCTCCCACAACCCTGTAAGAAAGGGTAAAACTGCCCCATAGTGCTGCCTAGACTGTAACCTTTACAACAACAAATTTCTTGTCTTTTCGCCCACAGAGTCTCTGATAGGTTCAAGCCACTGACCTTTCAGTTAGCAGTACAGTGCTTAATCATTACACAATCCTTACAGGGCAATTACTGAATCATAGATACAAATTTACTGTTAAAGAAATTTGTGTTTCTGACAGAAAGTGTTTCTGCCTGGAAAGATGACAACCCAAATTCCAGTGACAGTGACACAGAGTCATGGTGTCATGCTGGGCAAGTCTTTCAGCTTCTAAACCCTCAGTTGCTTTAAGTACAAAATGGGAGATTTGGACCAAAGGATTTCTCAGTTTCAACTTTTTTTACATCCTGTTCATACTCAGCTAATCAGTCACTCAGTTGCCATCTGCTCTCCTCATCTATATTCCATTATCTCAAGTGTATCTCATGACCAAACTATGGTTCTTTATGCATCTTTTGTTGAAATAGTTCAACACAACCCAAAAGTTCAGATACACCAAGCAAACGTCAATGAGTCCACAAAGGGAACTTGAGCAGGAATACAAATTTGCTATCAACTACATTGGTCTACTGATGAGTGGAAGAGGGGGAAAAGCAGCAATGAAGAAATGGGCTGAGTTCAACCACATACCCTAGACTCCTGTTGACCTGGAGATAAGAGAGAGAAGAGGAAGTATTGGTTGGTACAAAGTGCGGTGAGACCTGGGGACACCTGACATAGCCAGAGAGTGCTATAGCTGAGAGTGAAGCACCCAGCTGATATGAAGTGAGGGGAGATACACAAGAATATCCAAACTTGCAGATAATACCCATTTAGCCTAGCCTTGATAATCAGAGCTTGACTAGAGGAAGATAAAAATGAAAATATTTTTTGATAAAGGAAATGAGGGTAAATTGCTACAATTTGATGAATTTGACCTATATTCTTGGAGGTAGTAGCTAAAAATACCAACAGAGAGGGAAGGAGTCTTCACATCAAGTGTCAATGCTACCCTCTCTGTATACAGGATAGATAGGAACGGGCAACTTAGACATTGGCTACCTAAAATGAGGGGGTGAGAAAGCCACAAAGTGACTGGCTTACAAGATTTCAAGAGGGAGTTTAGTTTAAGAGTATGTGGGGGAATATAGAGTCCTCACTGAATAGTTTTAATCTTGTCTAGATGGGCCTGGTAAAAAGAGATGGGGATAAGATTTTTATGATTCAATAATGAATACTTGTTATCATGACTAATTGCAACTGTCAGTCACAATTGTGAAGGTAGAAGTTTTGTAACAAAAATGGGGGAGTAGTTAATCTTACAGTCCAGAAACAGAAGACCCTAGGACCATCAAGGGAGAAGAGCAAAAGTGTAGTGCGGGACTTTATCCACGGAAGCAGTGACATGAGAGATGGAGGCAGAGATGGGGACATGGAGAGAGGGAGCAGTTTAGGACTCTAGATTCAAGGAAAGAAAGGGACTGAGAGTTGGCGATCAGGAGGTAGACTTGCAGAATGTGCCCTTTAGTAGTTTTAAATGATTATATATGCCTTAGTGTTTAAAAATAATAATAAAAAAAGAGCTAAAATGAACAGAGAGAAATACTGTTAACTGATGGTCCATGGAGGGGATTATAATCATTGTAATGAAACAAAGTTTGTTTCATGTAAAAAAAAAAAAAAGAAAAAAAAGTTGAATGTAAAACTGATGATCTTCCCTGTAATCTTTCACTCAACTCACAATAAAAGCATTAAAAAAAACAACAAAAAACCTCAATGAATCCAGCCAGCATACTCACCCCAGAGAAGCCAGAGTAAATATGTTTCCTCCATAGCACCGTTGCAAGCACAGCAAGACAGAACTCCAGCACAGTGAAAATCAGCATCAGAGACAACACTCCCTGAAATTCATTAAATAAAAGGTTAGTGATGCTTAAGAGAACCAAACCTTCAGGTCTTGTTGAGAGTTGAACACAGAGAGGAACACTATGTTATCAGGAAGAGAAAACTTCTCATTCCAAGCCTAGTATTTGACTCAATTCTTTGAACAATTTGCTCATTGAGAGGAAGGGGATGGACAGTATTTAAATCAATGGAATCACTTTATATACTTATGGCTTGACAGTAGTTAAGTCAATTAACTCACTTTATACACTCAGCTTGGCAGTAATTAAATCAACTGATTTTCTTTGTACACATGTGTCTTACCTCTCTGAGACATACCTGGTTCTGGTCATATTGTTTCTTAGGAGCAGAGTAGTGTAGTTACTAGCCCCCAGGACTAAGAAAGAAGAGCCTCATCTTTACCACTTAAATAGTTGTGTGAACCTCAGCAAGTCTTCCCTTCTCCAGTTCCATATCCTCATTTGTCAAGTGTGCATAGGATTATTTCCTTCTCAGAGATTTGTGAGGGTACCATGATGACTCGACTATGCAGGCCCTTGGTAAAAATTGGTATCTTCTACATAGCTTACAAATTTGATGAAATTCCTGGGCATTTTGTGATTAGTTAAGAGTTAAAATAATCATGGTAGCAAACTGCCGGAGTTGCTACCAACGCAACCCAACAACAATAACAACAATAGAAAATTACGTTATCACTTGAGTTCCACTGTTTCTGTTCTAAAACATCCTTCATACAAGACTGGACCAGCTGATAGAACAAGTTTTCGTACATACTGGTTAAAAAAGACATGCAATTTGTCTACATTAAATGTTGTCTCCACAAGAAGTGCAGCAGAATCCCTTTTGTTTACAATGTAAAATTAGTCCATCATGAATTCATACTTTATCTACTAGATAAGCCCTTCCAAAATTCCTCCCCAGGCTTTTTCCCTGAGGAGGTGTTATCTCTGCCTGTTGTTGCTTTATTCCAATTCATTAACTCCATTTGCATTTTGCCTTTTCTCATTCAACTTTTCCCACTAAATCATTAACTTGGGAAGAACCACCAAGACCAAGCCTACAAGGAGTGAAGTGGAAGCATGGGCCTTATCCACACTTTTCTTTCTAGTTATCTTCTAATGGTGCCCTTGACTTACATCACTTTTATGATCACAGAAGAGTCAATATTCTACAACCTCTTTATTTTTATCTTTATTATTGTTTCTTTTTTATTGTAGTGATATATAGACAACAAAACATTGGCCATTTCAACCATTTTACTTTTGTTTTTCTTATTAACTCTTGATTTTTATTTTGACTTTCTTCCCCAATGTATTGCTGACCATAAATATGTTCCTATATGTTCCTTTTTAAGAGATATTATTTCTTTTAACCAAACTTCATCGCTTTCCTTCCTCCAAGAAGATAGAGTTCCTTCCCAATCATTATCAGTTCACATTCTCTATCTTCTTATGTTTCTACTCTAAATTTAAAAGACCCTATCTCTATAAGTTATTAACAAATAAACAAGTGTTGCCATCTTACCTGATAGAGTCTTGTCATCATTGTGAATATTGAAGAAGTAGCCTTCACTTTCCAAATTCTGCATTCCTCACTGCTAGTGTCTGATCAGTCTAAGTTAAAACCCCATCACACACTTATACCAGATCTCTTTGTTGTCATTGCCTAATCATGTAGACCTTTCTGCTATCTTTGCCTATCCTTATTCTTTATTCCATATATCAATATATTCCATATAGTCTATATATGGAGTCCTAGTGTGGTGCTGTGGGTTAATGCTCTGGACTGCCAAGTTTGTTTGAACCACAAGATTGACAGTTCAAGCTCACAAGCTGCTCCTTGGAAACCCTACAGGTCACTATGGGTAGGGACTAATCTAACAACAACAACATATATCAAGATTCTTGTTTTGACAGACTCATATTTTATGCCATTAACAATATATCAATTTGATTACTAAAGAACTCCACTGAGAATAGGATAAGCACTGGACTGCAAACCTCAAGGTCATCAGTTCAAGTCTATCAGCTGCTCTGTGAGAAAAAGATGAGGCCTTCTCCTTCTAAAAAGATGTACAGCTTCAGAAACCCTATACAGGTTCAGTAAGAGTCACAACTGACTCCATGGCATTTAACAATAACAACAACAGTAATTTTTAGTGTTTTTTTTTACATTTAGTCTTTGATTTTGTTGTATTGGGCTGTAATCCTACAGCCCAGCACCTTTATCGCAGTCATTTAATCCCCTTTTCTTTACATAGCCCTGAACTTCCTCCAAATGCCCAAACCAGAAGGAATAGAGAAGATTTCAAAAGCAAGGAGAACAAGAAGCTAAGGCTTTCAGAAATTTCGTAAGGTTGCAAAATTCCATCTCAAAATACTTACAGTCACACTGGTGGTGGCCATGGAGCAATTATCAGAATGATAATAATTTCCAGTTGGATTAATCTCTTTGTCTACTTCACAAATCTGTGAGGCATGGTCCAAACCAGCTAGGCTGATAGAGAGGAGAATGAAACCCACTACAGCACATAAACAGCTTAAGATGTTTGCAATCAGGCTGCTTTTAACCTAAAAGAGAAAAGGTGTGTAAGCATCACTCCTGGAAAACAGCAAATGCATCTATTTGCACCTCCTTTTTAGAAAATTGCACTATTTTTTTTTTCCTTGTCTATTGACCTCAGGATGTCTACAATTGATCATATACTGCTTCATGCCTAACGAAGTCTTTGGACCTATAAGATAAATCTTGGCTGAGTAAATTAATAAACAGAAAGTTAGCTGCTAGGCAGGACTTCAAGAAATTCTGGTGGTGCAACAGTGAAGTTTGCTAACCAAAAGGTAGGAAATCTGAACTCACCAGACACTCCTTGGAAACAAGTGGCAGTTGGTTTCCATAAAACTTTACAGCCGTAGAAACACTGTGGGACAGTTATACTCTGTCTTTACAGAGTTGCTATGAGTGAAAACTGACTCACGGGCAATGGATTTGGTTTGAGTTTAGGCAAGACTTCTGTGGGAAAAAAAAAAAATGTTGCTTTCCTAAATTCCTTAACCTGAACAGATAGCAAGACTGATAAGGTTATACATTCAAAATCTCTAAAAGTGTATGATCAGAAGCAGAGATGTGAATGGACCATCTACAGTTCCTGCCTTTCTCTACTCACTCAGAAATCCCTGGTGGAAGCATCAGCCACACTGAGGAGGCAGATGAACAATTAATTCGTCTTGCACACCTATCCATCCACAGAAAGTCACCCCTTCTCAAACTCAGGAGAATCCTGGATTCTGGGGAGGTGTATAATAGGTCATATCCAAGGCCATATGTGAGGATTTTTGTTTCTGTTTTTTACATTGAGGTGTGCAACCCTTACCAAAGGCTATGATCTTTGAACTTCATCAGTAAGTATTTTAAGTCCTTTGTGCTTTCATCAAGCAAGATTGTATCATCTGCATATTACAGGTTGTTTATGAGTCTTCCTCCAATCCTGGTGCCATGTTTTTCTTCAAATAATCCAGTTTCTCCAATTATTTGTTCAACATGCAGATTGAATAATTTAAAGCCACTCAGTGTTCCCTTGTTTTGTTCAAAAAAGTGCCTCTTGGTCTATGCAGAGAGTCCTCATGAGCACAATTAAGTGTTCAGGAAATGAGTACATTTCCCACAATGTTGATAGTGTGTCATGATCCACACAATCTAAAACAGTTGCATAGTCAATAAAGCACAGATAAACATCTTTTGGGGTTTCTCTGCCTTCAGCCAAAATTCTTCTGATGTAGACCAGCAGTTATTTCCCTTGTTCCACATCCTCATCTGAACTTGGCTTAAACATCTGTCTCTTCCTTGTTGATGTGCAGTTGCAGCTGTTTTTAATTATCTTAGCAAGATTTTACTTGCATGCAATATTAATGTTATTGTTTGATGATTTCTAAATTCTATTGGGTCACCTCTCATTGGAATGAGCACAAATATGGATCCCTTCAAATCAGTTGGTCAAGTAACTGTCTTCCAAATTTCTTGACACAGATGAGTGGGTGTCTCCACTCAACCAACTTAAAAGACTTTTTCATTTTTTTGTTAAAAATCTGCAATTAGCACCAGGTAAGACTAAACATGATCCAGATTACTCCTAATGGTAATCAGTGAATCCTCTTACAGAGAATATTATGGGAACAATTTTCACATAAGAACTGCAGAAACCTCTTTTTAAGATTTGGAATAATACTGTTGCTTTTTGGAATGGCTATGATGGTTTTCTATTTAAATTATATGGTTTTCTACATCGCCATGCCAATGATTACTTTTGGCATTTTTATTTTCATCATTACTGGAGTGATAGACTTTTATGAAGAATACTGGAAAACAGACCACTTGTTTACTGTCCAATAGGAAAGAAACTCCTAGGCACAGTACTGGTGAATCAAGACAAAACTGTAACAGTGGAAGAGCTAATAGCTGAGACCTCGCTATGTTGTTGTTAGGGGTCATCAAGTCCATACCAACTCATAGTGACCCTATCCACAACACAACAAAACACTTCCAGTCCTGGGCAGCCTCACAATTATTGCCACGCTTGAGTCCAATGATGCTGCTATTTTGCCACTCCATCTTGTTGGGGGTCTTCTTCTTTTTCTCTGACCCTCCATCTTACCAAACATGATATTCTTCTCCAGTGACTGGTCCTTCCTGACAATATGTCTGAAGTATGAGAGATGAAGTTTAGCAATCTTGGTCTCCAAGGAGCACTCTGGCTGCACTTCTTCCAACACAGATCTGTTGGTTCTATGGGCAGCCCATGGCACTTTCAATATTCTTCTCTAACACCATAATCCAAAGGCAGCAATTCTTCTATGATCTTCCTTATT